AATGTAGACATACCTCTAGTTACTTGTTAATCCTAGAACAGTGGATGAGTGTGCCTGTAAGGAATTGCATTTCAGTGCTATGTCTTCCCTCAGTGGAAAGGCAGGAGAATGGAAGTTGACGGAGTGGAGAACTATTCTGTTCTGCCACCTTCAGTTGACCTTGAGATGAATTTAAGGAAATAACATTAGGCCCCATGTGCATGGTATTTTCTAATGTAATGTAAGTTTAAACATTACATTTGTGTGCTTCAAGCCACTTGTTATGTTCTTGACCCTGATGCATTGGGCCATCTGGCAGGGCCATGTGGGGAAATGAGCCGAAACCATAATTTTTGCTGTAAAATGTGGTTTTGGTTTTATGAGTCTCTGAGCTACAAGAACTGTACGTTACTTACGGCAAGACTTGCATAATGCAATGGATTTAAGTACGATCTCATTTGCCAGTAGTATGTTTTTTGGGAAAACGCCAAAAGAAGTTGGGGAAGATGCCAGTATCCAATCTAAATTCCATCATTTCCTTTCTTTAAAACATATTTTGATATTATTTATATAGCACCCAAAAAAGTGACGAACCTTCAGACATAAATTAGATCCCAGCCCTCAGGCACAGGGGCTGCATCTACACTAAAAGTGCTGCACTGATGCAGCTGTGCTGCTGTCGTAGAGAGCTCTCCCATCGGCTTAATTACTTCGCCTCCCAGAAGAGGCTCTCCTGCTGACATAGCGCTGTCTACACCAGTGCTTAGATCAGTATAACTTACGTCACTCAGGGGTGTGGATTGTTCATGCCCTGAGCGACATAAGTTCTAGTGTAGACAAGGTTTTAGTCTGAATACAGTCTTGGTATGGGGGAAAGGAAGGATGGTTACACTTCTTATCCTTTTCCCTGTACATTTTCCCCTATTATATTCCTCCTTGGCCTTTGCGTTTCACCTAATGTCTGTTTACCATACACAATTTAGGGTAGTTGCTTTCTTTGGTTGCACTTTAACACCAGCCAACAACAAATACTGGAGGTGACCCAGAACTGCAGTCAAAGTCAGATTGCCTGAGTTGGAAAACCGGCCTATTTCTCTAGGCAGCTGTCAAATATCTGTTTGTCTTTTAATCCATCCAGGTAATTGAAACGAAGAATGAAATGGATTCAGACCGTGATACAGATCTAGCCTACAACAGTCTGAAGGTAAAGAATTTTGGAATGAAAGATTATTTTCATGCGTTCGGTGCTAATAACCTTTTGAATGGCTCAAACAGCCTAAGTAAATCCATCTGACATGGGTAATAAACCAAAGCCTCTCTTAACTCATTCTGGCCATTAAAGTCTGATATTGTGTGGCAGTTTGAAGGCACTCTGCAGCTTACTCTCTACTCTCTGGACTAGTTGTAGCTTCCAGCAGTCAGAGTGATGGCAGATGTTCCTAGGGAATGCCGCCTCACTGCCATATGCCATCTGCTGTGCCACTGATTTTATCTATGTGAGAGCTGAGTGGCAAATGCAGGCATGGTTAAGATGCGGGGGGGAGCTTCTTGTCACTACAAGCCTCCCAGCTTGTCTCTCCTCTTGCACATCAAAAGATCTTCAGGTGCACATTGGTCCATCCATATACTGCATTTGGGGTAACTTGATCAGCAGCAATTGTGAATCCACATGCGTGTCTCCTTCCCTAGCTGCACTGATGTGGTTTTTAACTCCAAACACCCACTCTCCCCAACTCTGAATCGAATCTCTCTCATATAGCTAAGGCACCTATCACATTGGTAGCATTGAACCCAGCTGCAAAGTCAGCTCTTCATCAGAAGCTTTGGTCCAACCCAGTCTCCCTGTGACCTCTGAGCTACAGAGTCATCCTCTCCTGTCCCCCACAACAGAATCCTGAGCTATCCACCCACAATCCTCCTGCCCCAGCTCTCTGCCTAGCAGATACAGGCTGAGATAAGGTTATCTGGCTCTTCTTACCACTTGCACCTGGATGTTGTGCAGGAGAGTGCAGTTTAGTCAACATTTCAGTTGACATCTAAGCGACTGTTTTCATATGAATCGCAGAGGTTTACTGTAATGGTGATGACATTTTTATTTGTTTAGCTCTAAGGATGCATTAAGTAAACCTGGCAGGAAATGAGAGCACTTCTTTACACTGGAAGGTGACACCAGTGCTTTTTGGCCTTGCTGTATAATATGTGAGTGAAAATGTTTTGCAGGGTGGATTGTTGCTCGGAGTCTATTGTACAAGCGGTCTGCTCTCCTCTTTCAGGCAAAACATGTGTTTCTCTTCACTGACAGTAAACCCGCTACATTCCCCTTTGCATGGGCATTTTCATAGTATTTCCTTTAGAGAAGATTTTATCTTCTTGTTCTTGTGTGACTATGTTTGTGTTGGAGTGCTTATGCATGTATTGACTGTCGAGCAAACTCATTTTCAGTACAACTCTTCCTTGGCTTACCCTGCTCAGCTAGTTCATCCTCAGAGATGTTGTGTCAAAAACAAATGTCTTTTAGTGCAGAAATTCAATTTTGGTTCCTTCTCCTCTCCCTAGTTCCTGGACAAACATGGAAAGACTCTCAGGAGATCTGAGAAAGTGTTTATTAACCAAGTATAGAAGGTCACACACTAAGCTACAGAGACCACATAGTACCCATTTGTACCATTTGCATTATCTCCCCAGGTTCAAGCAGAGAAACAGAAATTAGAGATGGAAAAGATCTATTGTCTATCTCCTCTATAAACACAACTGCCTACAGTACCATTCTCTGGTGCTTTGTCCAGCTTAATTATCAGTGACTAAAGCAATGGGGCTGCATTTACACTCACTGGACATAGTGTGTTGTCAGTAGATACCTACTGTGCTTTATTAGTATCTCTGCAAAGCTCAAGATGGAAGTATGACCGGTACCTCAAATCCCTGCCCCAGAGTTCTTCCAACTGTTGTTGGTTAAATACACCTACAACAGTTTTAAGTCACTTGAGCTATTATCACAAAATAAAATTGCAACTGGGATGGACAAACTTTGCAGGTTCAAGCTGTGTCAATCTCTCCCATTGTTTTGGGGGTCACAAAACTAACATGAGGGGTTGCAAACTCCTGTCACTTTAACTCAAGCACAAGTTGCAAGAGGGCAACCTTAATTTTGTAAATTTCTAACTTTAGAGTTTCTTCCCTCTGTAACCTTAATAACTGTCTTTTAATGCAGTTTTGTTTGTATGGATAGTAACGCTAGTTTCAAAATACACCTCTACCCCGATATAACGCGACCAATATAACACAAATTCAGATATAATGCAGTAAAGCAGTGCTCCAGGAGGGCGGGGCTGCGCACTCCGGCGGATCAAAGCAAGTTCAATATAACACGGTTTCACCTATAATGCGGTAACCTTTTTTGGCTCCCAAGGACAGCGTTATATTGGGGTAGAGGTGTATTTTTTTAAGGTTTAGTCTAAAACCAACATACTTCTGAATAAAATGCAGCTCCTTAGAACCTTGTTTTGGTATTGATGTTATGCAATTGCTGCTTTTCTGTTTGTATAAAGGAAAACACTGTGTGGTTGGCAACAGGGGCGGCTCCAGGCACCAGCGCAGCAAGCGCATGCCTGGGGCGGCAAGCCGTGGGAGGAGGCCTGCCAGTCGCCGTGAGGGCAGCAGTCAGGCTGCCTTCGGCGGCGTGCCTGCAGGAGGTCCGCCAGTCCCGCGGCTTCGGCAGCAATTCAGCGCCAGGTACGCCGCAGGCGCGGGATTGGCGGACTTCCCACACCACGCCGCCGAAGGCTGCCTCACTGCCATGCTTGGGGCAGCAAAATACATAGAGCCACCCCTGGTTAGCAACATGGAAATGTGAGCTGGCAACTGTATGGAGCAGCTTTTACCTATGAAAATCATTCTCTAACTTTTCAAATCTGTGGATCTGTTAATTTAAAAAGAAATCCTCTCCTGGACCCACCTACTCTCCCAAAATCCTAATCCTCTAATCGCTTCTTTATATGTGCAGACCAATAAGGAATGAGTCCATGGACCACTGATTCTCTGAGCCATAGTTTGAGAATTGACCTAAGACTAGCAAACATTCGCCCCATTTTACGAAGTCATAATTTATGTCTAACACTTCTACCCTGTGCTGTCAAGCTTTGTAACATCTCAGTCAGTTAACACATTGGTGACATTTCTGTCTAAAAAGGGCTACAGTTCCTGCTAAAAGCAAGAAGCAACAGTTTTATACAAAATTGTGACAGGAAGCATAAACTCCTGCAGCAAAAGTACTTCTTATTCCCATAGGTGGGCTGACCTGGGAGCAACCAGCTCCAAATTGAAAGAGCTGGAGAAACAAAAATATAGGTCACTGGCATTTTACCCAACTTTGCATGTAGCACACATCTTTTCTGCTAAAAAGGGCTTCGTTTGCAAAGAAAGCATTACTCGGAGCTGGTTCTGAGTGCTACTTTCCCGTCGCATCCCCTTGGCAGCTGGTGCCATGTTGTAACAGAACTATGCTCTCTCTCTCTCTCTTCTCTAGTGGTTTTCCCCCATTAATTTATTTCTCAAATATTTATAGTCTCTCTTTCCTTCATGAGAATTGCATAATTTAATTTACTTTTCCTTTATGCCAGTTTAAGAGGTTTAAAAAGTCTTCGTTTTATGGAGATTTTTTTTTCCTGCCTTCCTAGGCTTATGATTAATGCCTGAGGTGTCTGAAACTTGTGCATAAATGGTTAATGTGCATCTGTTGGAGGAATTTCTTTCAGATATCAGAAAGAGTGGAAAAAATATTAGAGACACAAGGTGGGTGAGGTAATATCTTTTATTGGACCAACTTGTGTTGGTGAGAGGGACAAGCTTTCGAGCTTACACAGAGCTCTTCAGTGTAAGTTGAAAGTTGGTCTCTTTCACCACGAGAAGTTGGGGCCAATAAAAGATATTACTTCATTCACCTTGTCTCTCTAATGTCCTGGGACCACCACCGCTACAACACAGCATGGAAAAAAGATTAGCATTATTACATCACTGGCAAACTGTTTTCATTCAGAATCAATATCTGGACTATATTTTTAGTACCCACCTCCTCTGAGGCCATGTCTCTTTCTCATTCCTCCTCCTTTAAAGTAAGGGGGAGGGGACGTTTTCTCTTGCAAACACTCCCAGACAGCTAAACTAACGTGGGGAAGAACCATAACATTTTCTTGCAAGTTGACTTGTTCGGCCAAACTACAGCAAGAAAGAACCATAGCGCTTTTGGTTCTACTGTCCTACTAAACCCTACACCCCCAGGTCCTGTAGTACCTAGTTCATAAATCACACGCTTCTTTCCAGTTATTGCCCAGTTGCTTTGCGCTAGAAAGATTATTCAGAAGGTTGCAGCAAGGCAGCTCTGGCACCTTTTAGAGTCGAGTGTATTCCCCGATCCTTTACACCCTGAGCTTTGCCCTTGGGTAGGATGCACAGGCTGTGCTGGTTTCATTAGTTGACCATCTGCCTCCAGTGATGGACATAGATCAGGTGTCTGTGCTGATTCTTTTTAGATCTGACAGCAGTCTTCGATAACCTTGATCTTGAGCTTTTGTTGACCCACTTGCAAACCTGGGCAGAGATAGGTAGGAGTTGTACATGAGTGTCTTCATTCTTTTCTCTCTCTTGGAAAGCCAGGACCACTGTTCATCCATCTCGTGGGCTTCGCTCTCCCCTCTGTTCGGTGAATGTGAAACAGCTTGGGAAGACAGTGAGAAGTTTGGGTTGGAGAGTCATCAGTATGCTGTTGACGCTCGGCTCTGCATCTGTGTTGTCAGACTGACAACTCATTCACTCAGTTTTCCCAATGTCTAGCTGAAATCAGGACATGGAGACAGCTAGCTGGTGGAGGGTTCACTCTGAGCTCGCTATGCCGCCAGTGCTCTGGGCAGTGGGGCTGTGAGCTCCTGCCAGGCAGCGTGGCTGCGAGAGCCACCAGCTTGCCCCAGTGCTCTAGACTGCGCCATGGCGTGGCTGGCTCCAGCCAGGCGGTGCGGCTGCCAGTCCTGGTGCTCTGAGCAGTATGATAAGGGGGTGGGGAGCGGGGGGGTTGGATAAGGGTCAGGGAGTCCCATGGGGCAGTCAGGGGACAGTGAGCAGGGGGCAGTTGGATAGGGTGGAGGTTCTGGGGGGGGCGGTCAGGGGATGGGGAACGGGGGGGTTGGATAGGTGTGAAAGTCTCAGGGAGCT